GAGAGAGAGAGAGAGAGAGAGAGAGAGAGAGAGAGAGAGAGAGATTACTAGCATATTTTAGTGTATATATTACATATTTGGCATCATTTCTTACAGTTGCAGTGTTTCTCAGCTTTTATGATTTTGGATGATTACTAGTATGGAGTTGAAGCTGCAAAGATTTTGAACTAAGCAAAGTAATCTGGCAAACTCTAGCAATCTATACCCAAATCTCCCAGCCTGATTGCCACTGACAAAACAAAGGAAATTACAAAACAAGTTTTTGGTGCTAGATTCACTACAGGTCTTACTACTGACTATTCTTTGCTTCTCCACCATGCAAGCAATAATCTGAGGCAAGGGGGGAGATTGTGGGGCCTAAGAGGGCCTTGGATCTCTTGTTGACAGTCCATCCCAATGTAATGGTTCCCAAGAGTGAGTGTCACTCACTTCAGCCTCCATGTATTTATTTTGTAGTCTGTCACCTTAGCTGCAGGCTTTGGGGATAGTGTTTTAAAATGCTCATTCTTTGCTTTTCCAGACACAGAATAAAGAATCCATTCTTTTAGCTGCAGAGAAAGAGTATTCCTTTCCCAGCATTTCTGCTTTTAATAGGATACATGAGAACTTGACCAACATTATCCAGAAGGAATAGATCAATAGAAGCAATGATTACATTTGTAGAATATACCCAGCTATTAAAGATCTGCTAATGTAATTGAATTAAAATGCCTTGTCTTCATTATCCTCCTTATTAGATACAAGCATTGTTGCAATAATAAAAGTGGAAAATATGTCCCATTCTCCAGTAGATTTTTTGACTGTGGCTTAGAGGTCCAATAAATCTTTTCATGAACTGGTTGCCAGACACATTCTAGGTTTAGCTTATAATCCTTCCACTTATATAAAATAAAGCCTTGTAATAAATTTGTCTTTAATTTTGATTACTTAATACACTGAAAGCCATTAAGGAATGCTTGATTTTTAGATTTTCAAGGAATCTTATTCTTACTTATCCATATTTATGTTCAGTGCTATTAAGTGGATGGAAGTGAAGAATTGGGTGTTGGCACTGGGTTTCACAACAGTGAAAAAAAAGGAACTTTGCTTCTTGCCAGGCGAGATTCACTACTAACCCTGGAATTGTTTTTTTCTCCATCTATTTTGGGTTTGAGCTTACTTTTGTGAAGGATCTTGAGCTGTTTGTTCTTTAAGCATTTCTTGGTTCCCATCCCCAATTTCTTTGGATGAGTTGATCTTGCAGCTGAATTTGCCTAAACTTAATTCAGGTAACCTTACTCTTGTTTTCTCTGTTCAGTAATATTTTTAGGGAGGCTGGACCAGGCTCTTTGCCCAATCTGACTTTTGTTAGTGTATTTTTAAAAGCAAAGATTAGTCTCAAGGCCCTTGGAGTCCATTGAGGTCCCACTTGGATGATAGCTTTGTATAGGGCTGCTTCGTCATCTAGTGTTTTGTGACCACCATTCCACACCACAGAAGCCATTTTGTGAGGGTACCTGTAGCATGCTCTGCAAATTTCTACCTCTGGTTTAGATAAAAACTGTCACAATGAATACCAGAGAAAACACATTAAGAGTTCCTCCAAACTCTT